AGACTTCCTCACCATGTATGTCCCTGATGCTGAAAAGTTCGAGAACAGTTTTACAAACAGAGGAAGGGTGGCATTCAAAATGTGGCTCTCGCCTTCACGCCGGGCACACTCGTTTGACAAATTTGCAAGAGCGTCACGGATTGAAGGCGGGCGGTTTCAAAATGTGGCTCGGCCCTCCGCGCCGCGCAGATTCGTTTTGAACATGTGGCTCTGGCCTTAGCGCCGCGCGCATTCGTTCAAACAATGCAAGAGTTTGACAGAGTACCATGGTCAACGTACCAGGAATGGCGTTTTGCAAGAAAGCCGAATTGTGAGGGCGCAACAGTTACGTTGACTCGCAGTGTTGAAGTCCCGTCAAGACACAACAGTCAGGTTGATCCGTGGCGTTGAAGTCCCGAGAAGGGTGTTTTGGCATGCTTCAAGGTCTTCAAACGGTTGTCTCCCAACGAGGCAGTTCCCTTAGTGGAGATGAACCCTGTAGCGGCCTGTGAAGAGAGAGCTTGGAGGGAGGGCTTACTCCAATATCGTTGACAAGTCTTGGGTTACCACTGGTCCTCCTCCTCCTCCTCCTCCTTCGCCTCCTCCTCTTCCTCATAATCGATATCATAATCACCAAAACCACCACCATCGCCATCATCATCATCATTATCAGCATCATCATCATCAGCAGCAGCAGCAGCATCAGCATCATAATCATCATCATGGTCATCAACACCAGCATCATCACCATCAGCATCATCATCAACAGCAGCATGATCGTCCGCCTCCGCCTTCTCCTCCACCTCCTCCTCTTCATCCACCTCCTCCTCTTACTCTTCCTCCTCCTCCTTCTCCTCCTCCTCGTCATCATCAACATCAGCATCAGCATCAATTCAGCATCAACATCATCATCAGTATCATCATCCGCCTCCGCCTCCTTCTCCTCCTCCTCCACCTCCTCCTCCTCCTTCTCCTCATCCTTCAACTCCTCCTCCTTCTCCTCCTCCACCTCCTCCTTAGTTTCCTACTCAATGTCCGCCCTCCACCTCCTCCTCCTCCTCCTAAATCATCCCTTCCCTGATACGCAGCTTCTTCCTGCTGCGCCCCCAGGCGTGTCGATAGGGCGGACTGGGCGATTCGCCTAAGACTTCCCCGCCACGCATGATCATGAAGCTTGAAATCTTGTAGCGCCGCGAGGATGTGTCTATGTGTCTTCAACGTTTGCAACCGTCTCACAGAATGAGGGCGGGCGACTTCCAAAATGTGGTTCTCGCCTCAGCGCCGCGGACAAGTGTCTTAAAAGCTTGCAACTGTCTCACAGATGGAGGGCGGCTTCTTCTCAAAATGTGGCCATCGCCTTAGAGCCGTGCACATTCGTCTTAAACGTTTGCAATAGCTTCAAGGCTTCGTATGGTTGAAATTCCTGGCATGGTGTTCTAGTACGACTTAGGATTGCCCAGACTCAACAGTCACGTTGATTCGCTGTGTTGAAGTCCAATAAAATGACGTTCTGACACGATTTAGTGCTGTCCGGGCACAACGGGCAGCTTGGAGGTAGGATTCATTGCAACATAATTGGTGCGTCTGGGGTTTACACTGGTCCTCCTACTCCTCCTCCTCCTCCTCCTCCTCCTCCTCCTCCTCTTCCTCCTCCTCCTCCTCCTCCTCCTCCTCCTCCTCTTCCTCTCCTCCTCCTCTTCCTCCTCCTCCTCCTCCTCCTCCACCTCCTCCTACCCCCCCTCCTCTTCATAATCCTCTCCTCCCCCTCTTTCTCGTCCTCCTCCTCGTCCTCCTCCTCCTCATCCGTCTCCCCTCGCCTTCTCGATAGATCTCCTCCGAATCCTCGCCCTCACCCTGCTCTCCCACAATTTGCTCTGTGGCTGCATGCCACAGTACTCCTCTCCCTCCTGCATATTCTCGTCCTCCGAGCCTTCATCCGACCTCATCATCATCCTCATCGTCAAGATCATCATCAGCAGCTGTAGCAGTAGCATCAGAATCCGTATCACAGCCACCACCACCACCACCACAATCACAACATCCTATACACCGCCACCATGAGCATCAACGTGATCGGCACCGTCACCCTACACGTTAAGAATGTTTTCAACTTCAGCAGTGACACCATCATCAGCATCAGCATCATCATGAGCAGCAGCAGCAGCATCGTCATCAGGATCGTCATCATCAGCAGCATCAGCATCGTCAACAGTAGTATCAGCATCATCAACAGCAGCACCATCATCATCCGCATCATCATCATCGTCATCAGCATCATCGTCACCAGCATCATCGTCATCATCAGCATCATCGTTATCATCATCGTCATCGTTATCATCATCGTCGTCATCATCATCACCAGCATCATCAGCATCACCATCAGCATCAGCATCATCATCATCATCATCATCATCATCATCATCATCATCATAGTCATCATCAATGTCATAATCATCATCATCGTCATCATCATCATCATCATCATCATCATCATCATCATAATCATAATCATCATCATCACAAGCACCAGCATCATTATTGACCCTCACCATCACCATCAACAACAGCATAAGCATCACCATCATCGTCGATCCAGTCGTTCCTCCTCTTCTCTTCCCCCATTCGTTCCCTCCTATTCCCCCGTTCGTTCCCTCCTCGCCACCTGTGGGCTGCCAGTGGACGTTCTGCCCGCCGGTCCTTGGCAACCAGCAGGCAGCGCTCGCCGCGCCCCTGTTGAGAGGACCCAAAGCCGCGTGCTGAGGGCCAAGAGCGCGAATGGCCCGTTCGGGGTTCGGCTCTCCTCCGTCTCCTCCTCCGCCGCCTCGTCTCCTGCTACTCCTCCTCCTCCTCCTCCTCCTCCTCCTCCGCCTCCTCCTGCTCCTCCTGCTCCTCCTGCTGCTGGTCCTTCTGCTTTTTCTGCTCCTGCTGATCCTGTTCCCCCGTTCCTCCCCTCCCAATCCCCCTCCCTCTCCCGGACTCCCTCACCCTCCCTGTGCCGCCCCCCCCTTTTCCAAGGATTCGAGGAGGGTGGAGGAGGCGATGAGCGGCTGCGTAAGACGCGCGTTCGACTTCGACTCCCCTCCGCGCCTGCACTCTTACGTGCGCGGCATCCGCCAGCCGCATGTTCGACACCACCGCCATGGGGCAGAAACACATGAAAAAACATGTGCCACATGCACACGTGCCCGACACATGTTCGACACCACCCCCTCCGCGCGCGCATGTGCACATGTAAAGAAGGCGCCGGCCGACTGTTCGACACCCCGCCTCGGCGGCCGCACGCGTGAAAACAAGTGCGAAACGCACACGTGGCGGACACATGCTCACCTCTTCCCCTCGGCGCACGTATTTCGACGTGTCCGACCGCATGTTCGACACCCCTCCTTGGCGCCTACACGTGTGCAAGCACGTGCCAAGTGCACACGGGCCACGCCTAGTTCCACAACAAGAACTCAACGATTTGCACGTTCGACAGCCATCGTTGGCGCCTAAAGTTAAGAAAACACCTGTCACATGCACACGTGCCAGACACATGTTCAACATCACTCCCTCAACGCACGTATTGTTACGCGTGCGGCTGCATGGTCGACACCCTCCTTGGCGCCTACACACGTGAAAACACATCCCACATGCACACATGCCAGACGAAAATTCGTTCGACACAACCCCCTCCGCGCCCGTCCCCTTACGTGTGAGGCATCCGCCGGCCGCGAGTACGACCCCCCCCTAGCGCCTGAACGCGTGGAAAACACGTGCCGAGTGCACACGTTCTGGACGCACCCTCCCTCCCCCTTCCCCCCCCTCCGTCCCCCGCCCCTTTGCCTCTCCCCCGCCCCCAGCCTGCAGGCCCAGCCCCGACGTGCACGCACGCGCGCGCACTCGCGCATGCGCGCCATCGCGCTCCAGAAGAGCACCCCAACGAGCACCCAGATCATCTCCCGACTTGGGCCCCCACGAACTCCTCATTCGATTCCTGGGAGTTTCTGTCGTCTCGCCCTTTGGGGCCCACCCGGGCCCCCCGGGGCGTCATTCGAAAGGACCCGAAGGATACTGTCGTTTTGCAAACGGCCAAGAGGGCAGGATGAGAGCCCGAATAAGGATAGATGACGCCAGGCCCCAACTCTGCCTCCCACATCTTGCCGAGCAGCGACAGAGCCTGCTACCACCGCTCGAATTTCTCACACGCGCTGACCCCAATAGTGTAGGATTGATGACGTTGATACCAAATATCGCCTCGCACATCTTGACGGGCAACGACAACGCCTGCTGCCGCCACTCGCACGTCTCGCACCCCGTGTTCCCTGCGCTATGGATGCTGACGCCATGTCAGATCTCGCTACGCGCTGCAAACGCCCTCTGCCATGGATTAACGCTCTTCCCCACCACACTGACCCAGGCATTTTAGTTTGTTGGTGTTGATGACGCCAGGTCCAGCTTCGCCTCCCACTTCTCGCTGAGCAGAGTCAACCCCCCTCTGCTACTGCACGCCTTTTCCGCACGCGCTGGTCCTAGTTGTGCAGCCAGAGATGCCGGGATTCAAATGAGCATCAACATGATCGCGCTAAGCAGCGACAGTGCCTGCTGCCACTGCACACCTTCTTCACACGCAACGATCCCAGAACTAACGCAGATAACATCGGGCTCCAACCTCGCCTCCCGCATCTCGCCGAGCAGCGACAAGGCCCGCCGCCATTGACCTCCCTCCTCGCACGCGATGATCCCAGCACTGTAGCTGATGACATTGGGCTCCAACTTCGCTTCCAACATCTCGCTGAACAGCGAAAGAGCTCACTGCCACTGCCCACAGCACGGGCTGATCCCCGCGGTGTAGCTGACGACAGGGCACCAACTGTCTCTCCCAGATCTCACTGAGTATTGACAGAGCCCGCGGCCACTGCTGGCCCTTCTCGCACGCGCTGATGCCAGCGTTGCAGCTGATAACGTTGGGCTCCAGCTTCGCCTCCCGCATCTGGCTGAACAGCGACAAAGCGTGCTGCCATTGTACGCCCTTCTCGCACGCGCTAATACCAGCGCCATAGCTCCAACTTCGCCTCCCGCATCTCGCTGAGCAGTGCGAGAGCCCGCTGCCACTGCTGGCCCTTCTGGCACGCGCTGATTCCAGCGCTAAAACTGACTAGGGATAACCCGTGGACTCCGTCCACGAAATCTGCACGAACTGACATGTGATTGCGGACATGCTGCCGAAAGGCTGAAATTACAACGTGGGGCTCGACCCTCGCATTCGGCCCGTGCTGCTGCGTGCTGCTGCTTGCTGCCGCCGTTGCCTGCTTTTGATAATGCGTGCCGCTGCTGCGCGTCGTTGTCGCTTGTGGCTGCAGGGTGCTGCTCATGGCCACGTTTGCTTGGTGCGTGCTGCTGACCGCCACCAACGACTGCTGCTTGCTGTTGCTGTATGCTGCCGCTGCTGCCTGCTTCGTATTTCGTGCTGCTGCCGTCCAGGTAATGGGGGCGTTCTGGGCCGCTCAAGGATGATCTTGAGCTACCTTGAGGCCGTATCTGGACGATCAGAAGCAACCGTGGGCCTTATCTTCAAACGATACTCCATGGTGGCTGTGGCCGCCCGAGGAGGTCGGAGGATGCGGCGGGCTGCGTAGACTCGGGAGAAGTTCGAAGGCACTGCGGAGCATGCCCTTCAGATTGGAGCCTATCGCCTATCCAAAGAAGGGGAGAAAATAAGAGGCGCATGGGCGCCTTATTTTCCTGGGTAGCCGGCGCCGTCCCAGAGGTCTCTAAGAAATCTTCCCTCGGAAGCCTCACGGAGGCGGTTTTGGGGGTTGTCTTGGAGATTATCGGGGGCCTCTTGGGGCCTGATTTGGGCCTCTTGAGGCCTCCTGAGGCTTCTGGGGGGCCTCTTGGGGGCTTCCGCGATCATCCTGGAGCGGCGGGCGAAATATCAGTTCGAGTTCCCCCTCTTGGGGCCGTCTTGGGCCGTCTTGGAAGCCTCTTGTGCCGTCTTGGGGCCCTCTTGGGCCGTCTGGGGTCCCGCTTGGAAGCCTCTTGGGCTGTCTTGGGGCCATCTTGGGGGCCTCCGGGGCCGTCAATAATTGCCTCTCGGGGCCCTTCTTGGAAAGTTCTTGGAACCCTCTTGTGCCGCCTTGTGGCCCCGTGAGGCCGTCTGAATGCCATATTGGCGACCTCGTGGACCGTCTGCAGGCGTCTCGGGTCATCTTGGACGGTCTTTGGGCCCTCCTGGAGCCCGCCGAGGGATGCCTGGAGCGCACCCGGGCCAGCTGGGGCCGGTTTTCAGCCTCTTGAAACATGTTCCTTCTGGCAGGCGGCTCCCCCAGCGCTGTAGGGCAGATGACGTTGAGCAGCGCCACAGCCCGCATCTCGTTGAGCAGCGCCACAGCCCGCTGCATTAGCGCGCCTCTCTCGTACGCGCTTATGCCACCTCTGTAGCATGCGACGTTGGGCTCCAATTCCGCCTCCGACATCTCGCTGAGCATTGCCAAAGCTCTCTGCCACTCCTCTTCTTTCTCGCACGCGCTGATCCAAGCGTGAGCAACGCCACAGCCCGCTGCCATTGCTCGCCCTTCTTGAACGCGCTAATGGCAGCACTGTAGCTGACTAGGCCTGACCCGTGGACTCCGTCCACGACATCTTTCTGGAATGATTCTCGGAGGAACGGCGGAGATTTTGCCGAACATCTATAAGCACTGCTGCGGCTGGGGCGGCGGCAGCGAGACCGCGCCTTCGTGTCCGAGCTCTTGCAGCGCTCCAGCAGCTTGGCCCCAGCGCACGGCTCGAGGAGGGAGGAGGGAGGAGGGAGGAGGGAGGAGGGAGGAGGGAGAAGGGCGGGCAGTTTTGAAGTCTGTCGGGGATGCGCGTCAAAGTCGAAGCCCATCTGAGGCGCCTCGGGAGCGCCCAGGGACGGGCGCGGGAGGACCTCGAGGAAAGCCACCGGGAGCGCAGGGGCAGGCTCGCAAGGATCTCGAGGGAGGGCCCAAGAGAGCTTCAAGGGGGTGTGAAATGCAATCGGATCTTAAGAGACACCGCTGTCGGGTCGGACGTGCTCCGCTACGTGGGGGAAGCAACTTTGCTGGAGTTCGGTTGAAGGCGAAGCTCTCTCGGGCGTGTCAGGAGCGACGGGGCCCACTCTCTTGGAGGCAGATTTAAAGCCTCTTTGGGCTTCTTGGTGGGTTGAAGGCCTCGTCGGGACCTTTTGGGACCCTCTTGGCCCGTTTTGGCTCCTCCTCTTGGGCCGTCTTGGGGCCACGTTCAGAGCTCCGTACGTCATCTAGACCCTTTATGAGGCTCTCTTCTGGGCCCTCTCGGACTTCCTCTCCTCCCCCTGCTCCTCTGTCTCTGCCTCCTCCTCCTCCTCCTCCTCCCCCTCCTCCTCCTCCTCCTCCTCCTCCTCCTCCTCCTCCTCCTCCTCCGCATTCCTGCTTCGATGCTGTATGCCCCGGGTCTTGGATGGTCAATCGTAGACCCACGGAGCCTGCGTCCTGCCTCTCACCTGCCGTCTGCCCGCCCATCTGTTGGAGGGATTATGTGGCCACTGAGGGCCTGTAGGGGCCGTGCCGGGGCCTTCGGGCTTCTTTGCGGCTTCGAGGGGGCCTCTGGGGGCCCTCTGAAGCTCTCATTTGGGCCGTGTCGGAACCGTCCTGGGCCGTCTAGGGCGCGGCGCCTCTTGGGCCGTCTGGGGGCCGTCGTGGACCGTCTTCGGCGGCTCTTGGGGCTGTCTTGGGTGCCTTCGGGGCCGTCTCGGGGCCGTCGTGGGCCGTCTTGGGCGCCTATTGGGACGTTTTCGGACCGTCTTGGGCCGTCTTGGGCCGTCTGGGGCCGTCTTTGGGGTTGTCTTGGATGCCTCTGGGGCCGTCTTGGGCGCCTCTTGAGCCGTCCTGGGCCCGTCTTGGGGCCTGATGGGGGCATCTCGGGCCGATCTTGGAAGGGTCATGTGGCCGTCGTAGACGCGTCGGAGACGAAAAGCACGATAGTGCCAAAAATGTCAGTTTCCCTACGGGAATGGGACGATTTGGGCATCTCGGGGCTGTCCCGGGGAATCCTGGAGGGCCGTCTTTGGGTGTTCCTGGCCTGCCCCTGGGGCCCTTGGGGCCGTCAGGGCGGCCTCTTGAGCGGCTCGGAGCGCCCCTGGGGCCGCCGGGCTGGCCTCTGGAGCGGCTCGGAGCCGTCGTGGGGTCGTCAGGGCGCCCTCTTGAGCGGTTCGGGACCGTCGTTGGGCCGTCGGGGCGGCCTCCGGGGGCGGGCCAGTCGGCACGAGTTTGACCACACTGATCCCCCGCCCTCCTGGCACGCAGCGCCCCCGACGTTGTAGTGCAGACTACGGCTGACCCGTGGACCACCGCCCACGAGTGCCAGTGGTCAGAATGCTCTTACTGCTGCTCGGGCTGTGTGCTCGATGAGTCTGACAGCGTCCAGAGCAGCGTTTGCACTATCAGCGGCAGCAGCCCCATACCATAAGCACTACGTGGGATAGCCTGTTCCTGCTCCTGGCCCTCCTCATCCTCCTCATCCTTTCCCCCTCGTGCTTGGCTCGTCCTCGTCCTCCGCATCGTCGTCGTCGTCCTCCTCCTCCTCATCCTCCTCATCCTCCTCCTGCCCCCCCCTCCTCCTCCTCCTCCCCCCCCTCCTCCTCCTCCTCCTCCTCCTCCTCCTCCTCCTCCTCCTCCTCCTCCTCCTCCTCCTCCTCCTCGTCCTATTTACCGATTTACCCGCTGGTTAGCCGCAGGTCTCTCCCTGCGGACGACGCCTGAACGGGCGCGGCACAGCCGCACTTGGACCTCAGATGAGGTCGATGAAGAGCGCGAGGACCCAGCACCTGACTAAGCCCGCCCCCAAGAGGGGCCAGACGGGCACCCGTCCCCAAGAGGGTCCAGACGGGTATCAGCAGCAGAGTATCACAAAGCCTCGGTACCTGAAAGAGCCCACCACGCGTCGCGCACCTGATAACGTATCATCTTCATCCCATCTATTGCCTTCCAATACCAGTGCTGAAAGATCGGTGATGACCAACTGCACTCCAGGGTAATAGCGAAGGGCTTGGAGAACGCAGTGCCGTTCAGTCGCACCAATTGTCTGCTGTATTCATGGCAACCCTCCGTACACCGCCCGAACGGGATAACCACCAGGAAACATTTGAACGCAAGCCCATCCACACCGCCTCAACTCAGGTATACTGGAAGGTATAGCGGGTCCATCCGTGAAGACAGTCCGAAGCCACTCATCAGATGAGCCTTCCCAGCAGCCCCAGAAACGAACAGGTGGATTGAGATCAGCATGTTCCCACTCGCCATGTATGTGGGGTAAGCCTACGCTGAGTTCAAAACATTCACCAGTGACGACGGGGCGGTTGATCGTGCCATTCTGGAGGGTAGAGTCACGGAGCTGAGATAACTCATCAGGCAGAGGATGCTCCACCTCACCTTCAAGAAGCCACTTGTTCACCGCGTCGCACTTGTAGCATCCGTGCCCCATGGTCTCATCATCGCCTCGGCAAGCCCGACAAAGAGAGTCCGAAACCTCAGCGCGAGCTGCCAGCCGCACCTTGGTCCAAAGAGAGCCAGAACAAAGATATCGCAGAGCACCAGCAACCTTCGGGTTCTTAATAGTCGCCGTCGGTCCGCCCAAGCTCGCACGAAGCCCCCGAGCCCACAAAGTAGTTGTTGGCTCACGTTGTTCATGATGAGCGAGTATGCGTTGCATCTGGAGCCGTTGAATACCTGCACGCAACAAATCCGCCGATCCGGCGCGTGAGTCCCTGAGAGCGCGGGCTTGAGCTCGCTCAAGCTTCGCCCTGGCGAGGGGGAGGGGGGGGCTGACGCGAGCTGACGCGGGCTGACGCGAGCTGACGCGGGCTGACGCGAGCTGACGCGGGCTGACGCGGGCTGACGTTTTTCCGGCCCCCGGGCCCGGGATCCGGGACCCGGGCGCGCTCCTGGGAGGGGGGGGGGCTGACGCGAGCTGGCGCGGGCTGACGCGAGCTGACGCGGGCTGACGCGGGCTGACGTTTTTCCGGCCCCCGGGCCCGGGATCCGGGACCCGGGCGCGCTCCTGGGAAGGATCGAAGGGGGGGCTGGCGCGAGCTGACGCGGGCTGACGCGGGCTGACGTTTTTCCGGCCCCCGGGCCCGGGCCCGGGGACCGGCGCGAGACCCGGGGCCCGGGGCCGGCGCCGGTATCAGGCTCGGGACCCGCGACCCAGGACCGGCGTTGGAATCGGGACCCGGGATCGGCGCCGGACCCGGGGCCCGCGACCCGGGATAGGCGCGGGGCCCGGGACCCAGGACCGGCGCGGGACTCGGGGCCCGGGACCGGCGCGGGACCCGGGACCCAGGACTCGGGACCGGCGCGCGACCCGGCACCCCCGACCCGGGACCGGCGCGAGACCCGGGACCCGGGACCGGCGCGGGGCCCCGGGACCCGGGACTGCTTCGAGAATGGTGGCTCTTACGCTAGTTGCACCCTATGTATAAGTATCGCAAGTAACATAGCTACTTACATGAGCTACTTATGGGTACTTACTAAGATACTTATAAGTAACTTAAGTTGATGTTCTTAAGTTACTTAAGCTAACACTATAAGATACTTATAAGTTACTTAGGGAAATGAAGCGATCGCGATCGCTTGGGAGGAGGAGGAGGAGGAGGAGCGATGTCGATCGCTGTGAGGGGGGGGAGGGGGGGAGGAGAGTGATGAGCGCGGCGGGGCGCGCGGCCTCCTCACCGCGCGCGGCCGCGTCCTCAGTGTACGCGCGGCCTCCTCACCGCGCAGGGGGCTCACCCTCAGGGGCCGCCTCGCCGCCCTGCCCGTCGCGGAAGGCGGTCGAGCAGATCGCCTCCGCCTCGCTCAACGCCTGCAGCTCGGCCTGCTGTTGGAGCCGCCTGAGGACGCTGGAGTCGTTCCACCCATCCCCGCCCAGGGACGCGAGCAGCTCCACCAGCTCATCCCCGGTGGGAGGGCGCACGGTGGCGCTTTCGAACTCCCACGAACGCTGGACCTCCATTGCCTGCTCCCTCTCGGCCGACGGCCGCAACCTCGAGGCGCGGCCGCTTGGGCGGCGGCGGCGGCGCCGCGTCCTTGGAGGTGGCCGCAACGAAAGCGGCGGGCGACGGCATCTTGAAGAACTTCGCGTTGGCCATATTCGGCCACGGGCCGCCTCGCGGCAGCGGGACACTGGACGGCTTCGCGCCGACCAGCCCAGGTGGCAGCGGTTCCGAGGGGAGATCGTCCATGACGCGCCCCCTCCTGCGCGCGCGCGCGCCGTCGCTTGGCCGCGAGCGCCCCGTGCGTCACTCGCGAGGCGAGCCGAAACGGCTGAGCAATCGCCGTCATCGCGAGCCCATCGTCGCCAACGCCCGCCCGAGCGATCGCCATCGCTCCACCCATATTCCCACCCGCGCCCGAGCGATCGACATCGCTCTCCTCCTCCTCATCATCGTCATCCTCCTCTTCCTCCTTCTCCTGCCTCCTCCCCCTTCCAAGCGATCGACATCGCTTCGCCTCCCCCAGCGATCGGCATCGCTCTCTTGCTCCTCATCCTCCTCCTCCTCCTCCTCGCGGCG